CCATATATGTGTAATATTTATAATGTTCAATTTAACATTGTTTCAAGCTCTGAGTATTTCAGGAACATTTTCAAAAGCTAAGTTGAAAAAGTTACCCTTTGGGAATAGCTGCTATTTTGATTTCCCCTTTGGTTGATAATGGTTTAGATTTTCAAATATATAGATATATCTAATACAAAGGAAATACCTAAAGCATTTAAAAAAATATAAATAAATAATTAAATTTTAATATTTAGGTAATATTATGGACATACTAGAATTTAAAAAAAAATTGTCATAAATTCTATAAAATGATAAAGTAGTATTATCTATACAGTGATATAAAATCTTTAAACATATATTTTTTTAAATTTGGTTTGATTTACCAGAAATCCGGTTGGTTAAAATATAATGGTATTGAAATATAAAACAAAAAAATTATTTAGAATACATATTTATTTAAGAATTCAGATAACCATAAAAATACAAAATAGTATTAAAATACTTTTATTGGAATATTTTACGAGATTGGCAGAGTCCATTAAGAATCAGTCGGTCATCGAATATCGGTCGCAATTTTATTTTTTGTTGAGTGTTCGACGTATTGATAAATTGTTCGTTCTACCTACTTCATTGAATAGGTTTATTTACGATGCCTTAATTAAAGTCTGTACTCTTGTCTCACGTTTCTTTAGNGTTTCTTTAGTTAAAAGAATCGTATAAATTGTTAACCATATCACATCTTTGTAGTGATTATTATTAATTTTTTTTTTTTGATAAACCAGTGTAATAAACGGTCACGACTCTTTACAACCTTAACATCTATTTAGTTTATCTCCTTTAACTGGGTCATCTCCGTCCTACAAACACTTCCCTATCTACTGGATACATATTACACATTATTTATAAAGTTGCATTTTTAGCTTATTTACGATTATAATCTTGTATATTCTGTAGTTAAAAGCAAATTTCATTCAAATAATATACAATTATTTATTACTTACTGACTAATTTATAAAATAATTTATTGTGCTCACTTTTAGCAAAAATTGTATTTAAGATTCGTCCGTAGTTATTATTTTGATAAACTCATCAATTAATTTAATTATTCTTCCAGTAGTATCATTAACCAATTTTGGATTCATTATAATGGAAGCTCCTTTAATGTACGAATCAATTTACTCTCAATTACTAGAATAAGAATGTTAAAAATTATTTGGAATTTTAAATCTCGTAAGTAACTTGTTGGATTTTTCATCGAAAAGCTTAAGTAAATTATCATTATATCATTAATTATCATTTTCTAGAAATATTTCTACATTGGCCTTTTTCAATAATCACTTTTTTGTTGAATAATCTTCATAAACTTCCAAATTTTCGTCTTGAATTGTCCTTGTTAACAATCAAGTTTTTGGTTTTATAATTTATTCTATTATCGAATAATGAAAAAAATACATACTCTTTATTTAAATAAAATAAATGGTTAATAATTTTACCTACAGTTATGTTTGATATATTTTTAATAATTTTTCTATTATTGTGCAGCTGTCTTAGAAACTATACATCATTCAGAGGGTCTTCATTAGTTGTAAAAGACAAAAAATAGTATTTAGCACAAAATTAAAAAGAATTCTTATTAAAATATTTAAAATAATCTAAATCGTTTTAGTATAAATTATAATAAAGACATTTTTTTCTTTTTTTGTAAAATTGAGGAATTAATATATGTGTTTATGTTAACAAATAAGACTTTGTGAGAATGAATCACCTTTCCACGGCTTAACAATTTTTTTTTTTTATGAAAAACACATGATCTATTATTTCTATCTATCACTACGTAGCAATAACACATACAAACAAACAACAAATAAACTATAAAATGTATTTCAATACCAATACCTGTACACATTTCTGAAACACCTAATAATTACTCCACATTTAGACCCTTACCTGTTATAGCTTACTCACAATTAATTTAGCTGATGTTTTTTAATAATTTGTATCTCAGTGTACAATAATCGATTCAATATTTATTAATAGTGTGTTTAACTTTATTTTCATAAAATATGAACGATATGCAGCTCTAAAATTTCTAATGGATATTAAATTAATTATAAAATATGATGGTTTAAATGAAACTATTTCTAAAAAAGAATTTAATAAGTGATCATAAGCATCTCTATGCAACTAAATTTGCACTTATTAACACAGCTAATTATTTAAATCCTTCTAATTAATATAATCAGTATATGATTATTGATTATTGTATGATTATTATTATTATTATTGATATGTAAACTAATAATTATTAGTTTACGTATGAATAATAAATAAATATATCTAAATCAAAAAATATGTAACTAGCAGAATGTATAATGTACTGTATATCACTATAAATAATTATTTAAACATCAAAAGTGCATACAAATGATTACTAAGACTTCTATTTTAATGATTTATTACAGTAAAAATACAAAAAAATAGTGATTTTAACGAAATTTTTAGTTTTTTTCATAAATTTTCTGTTAATAGTAATTATAAAAGATTCTGATCACATATCAATCTAAAAAATAGAATATTTTTTCCTCATTAATATATTCTATTTAATAATATAAATTCTAAACTTGGAAGTTGACCTGAAATTGTGTTTAGAAGTTTCAACATTTCTTAATTATAAACTATCATAAAAGCAACTTTAAAAAATCAAAAAAATATGTTATGTTTAATGAATACAAAAACCAATAAGAATAAATTTGATTTTATGACAAA